CCCGCGAGGGTTCCACCCCCTGTTTAGCCACTGGAGCGACGTCCCTAGTGGAGCTGACTTCTAAAAGTTCCGATTTTGTGCTCCGAGGCTCTATCACTTGCCAGAAGCGGCCGATGGAGGCCCCCTCCCCCACCATCTATCCTCCCGAATATAGACTCAGATTCGCTTCTCCGCAGGTCCTACCTTCTAGAAAGTGCTTGCTTTTCTGTTCTGAGAGTTGTTGCTAATCTTTTCTTTGATCTCCTGTTGAGTTCATAGGTGTTCAAAATGGTTTGATCCCTATTCAGCTGAATTCCTGAGGCCAGACGAAATCTATGTCTCCTACTCCTCTGCCATCTTGCTCCGCCTCCTAAGCAGTATAATTCTGCTACGATTTACTGAGTGTGTCTATATACTAGGCACTACTATGTGAAGTGCTTTGTATATGTTATCTCTTTTGCTTTTCACAACAGCCCTGAAAAGCAGGGCTTCTCAGGGTAAAATGGCTTATCCCCATTTTACCAATGAACAAATTAAGGCTCAAAAGGTTAAATAATTTACTGAAGGTCATTTGGTCAGGAAGCTGAAGAGACACATTTAAAATAATGATTGATCTGACTCCAACCCCTCCATGATTAACAACAATGTAAATGTACCTCTCCTTCACATGCTGGGGTAGAGACAGGAAGAACTAAAATAAACAAAGAAACCTTCCACATTTTCCACTTTAAAAAACCTTATTTAGGGCAAACTGAATTAATCTTTAGCCAAAGACAGTCCATTAGAATTGGAGAGTTAATCAATTTTTTCATTATACAGCCCACAATCCACAAACGAGTAACAATTATATCACCAACAAAATATTTTTCTCTGATTATGGTACAAGTAAAATTGTCTCTAGTGATACAGTACTGAACCATAAATTAGATGAATGTATTCTCCCCCATGCTCTAGGAAAAACCAAAATGCTTTGACCAACAGCCTTAATACAAAATTATACAAGGACCTAGTCACAGTAAACAGATCATCCTATATACTGCTACATACAAAAACCAGTATATGAATTTTTATAGCTGCTCTACTGGTTATGGCAAGATACTGAAGAGAACCCAGAGGTCCTTCAGTAGGTGGATGGTTGGACAAACTTTGGTATATCCTTGCAAGGGACTACTACTCAGCAATAAAAAGGAATGAACCACTGATACATGCAACAATCTGAATGGACCTCAAGGGCTTTATGTTTAGTGAAAAACATCAATCTCAAAAGGTTACATTCTGTATGATTCCACTGATATAACATTCTTAAAAATGTCAAAACTATAGAGATGAAGAATGGGGAGGGTACAAGGAGAGGAGAGTAAAGAGGCGGGTGCCACTACAAGGGAGCTCTTTTCAGGATAATTGAACAGTTCTGTATCTTGATTATGGTGATAACCATGAATCTGTACATGAGATAAAACTGCAGAGAACTATAGACACAAACACACACAAATGCAGATTAAAAACTGGTGAAAACTGAATAAGGTCTACAGTCTAATTCATAATAATATACCCACGTCAATTTCCTGGTTTTGATATTGTACTACAGCTAAATAATGTCGCCACTGGGGGAGGCTTACACAGGAGAAGGTGAAAGGAACATAGGACTCTTTGTACTATCTTTGCAATTTCCTAGTATTATTTCAACATAAAAAGTTTAAACAAAAAATGGTCCTGGGTGTGAGAACCTGAATTTGAATTTGGGTCAGCCTGACTCTACAACTTGTGCTACTGCCCTATATACCCTACTGCCTAAAAATCTGTTTTATTAAAATATACCAAATATGTATTATTTCCTATGGAGAAGAATAAAAATTACATAGGAGGCTCATCCTGGGTCACATTTAAAGAAATCCAAGCAAGTCCAAAAAGTACTTTATTACGAAAAAGTTTAAATATCAATTTGTTTATGGCATGTAAGCCCAGGTGTTCCAATGTACTAATATTAACATGGGCATGGAAAGAGAACTTTGGAAGTGTGATAGAAAATGATGTCTAGGCTGCTCTGGCACCGTGACTGGAGACACTGCCTCCCATTCCCCTCTCACTAGAGGTAGCTCTGGAGTCTCCTGCCATGTCGCCTTGTTCACTTGAAAGATTAACAACTGTTCCTCTCCTTACACACCAGGCAAACAAACTGCACAGCAGAAAGCTGTAAGTAGAGTCATTACACTTTACATTTGGCATCTTTCTTCCATATACACAGGAACTTCCTGATGAGGTTGTCCTTGTGAGATGTAGGACATGTCCAAATTATAATATAATCTCAGCCAGAGACATGACTAAAGGTGCCAAATGGTTTTTGGGAGCGAGTGAAAGTTGCTGCCGGCCTTCATATTAATTCATCAAACCCTTGTACACTATGGGGCAGCTGTTATGCATATGGGCAAGGACAAGAATCAAAATAGTGATGGGATGTTTTCCCACTAGTGATGTTTTCCTGTTTAGTCCCATAACTATTTTACTTATTGATCAAATAAATCATATTTTAAAATCAGAGCCACATTGATTCACTTTATCAAGTCCTCAATGCTGAATGTGCTATTGGTCAGAGGTGCTTTGGAGCATATGGTTCAGTTGCATATAGTTCAATCTAACACATATACAGTATCAAGTGTTTATTAAAAACATAATGGCATGACATTGCTTTGGAAGGTGACACAAAAGATGGAAAAGACACCAGTCTGTAGCCTTAAGGGGGAGATACACAGGTATACAGTTAGCAAAACCCAAGAAAAACGATAATTACTGCTATTATTAAGTGTGCTAACCTGGCAAATTCAATGTTACTATTATTAATAACAAGAAAGAGAAACCTCAAGAGAGTGATCTTCAGGTATTTAAGAAGGAAATACATGTCATTAATTATATTCCACGGAGCAGAACTAGGATCAAGGGCTAGAAATTACAAGAATATACAGGAAGGCTGGTGTTATATATACATAAAAGCTTTTAATTTTTTTTAATTAAAGCTCACATGTTTATAGAATATAGGGCATAACAAACCATTAATGACTTAATAACTACAGTGATCTTATTAAACCACTGTACTGGAGAAGAGTTCATGAGATTCTTTCTAAGGGCATGTCTCCTCCCGAGGTCCCACAGATCAGAGAAATGCATCTTGATACCCAGGGCCACAAATCAACAGTCCACAGAGACTAGCTATAAGGGAAAGAGACTTACAGCTTATGAGGTGATATGAGGATGGAATTTTGTCCAAAAAAAGTGATTCAGATTGGGTGGAGATTAAATGACCAAGACAGATCCCCTCTCATGAAGAGTTTTGCATTTTAGAGAGGCAACAGAGGAGAAAGCAATTACAGAGGCCATCAGAAAAAGAGAAAGAGAAAAACAGCTCTGAGTATGGCAAAGCAAATACAGTACAAAGCAACCAATAGCCAATTCTACGGAAATTAACAAGCTGACTAGGCTTCCAGATTTCCTACAGGATCACCAAAACTATGCTATATTAATGTTCCAGTTCTCCAGGAGACCCTTCTGTTCACCCACAAAGGCATGTGTGTGAATTTTTTCATCACCAAAGGGAACCTTGAGACAATGTTGAACTTTACATGAATCCTGTACTTCTGGAAAACAGGGACAGCCAAAAAATTACCCCTCACACTTTTGTGTTCCAGAACAGCTTACAGCAAAGAACTACTCTTCCCCATATGACTTAGATAAAATTCATGGATGACCTCTTGTAACCTATGACAAGACCAAGACACAGATCCTCCAAATTCCCATTCTTTCATTCATAAAGGATTAGCTGAAATGTTTATCCTCATGGACCATTCTGGCTGGTCAATGGCTATTAACTGGAGTTGACCAAACTTTAGTCAGGCTTTCTTCCCTCTTCCAAGTCCCTAGACTTTGACCCACCCCTGAGCAATGGAAGGTGAACAACTCCTCTAGAATGACCCCCTCCAAGAATCAGATGACCTCAGGGAAGAATATTCCCTGATCAACTCTCCAACCTTGTCACCAACTCATCCCAGTACCCCACAACCAATTCTTTTTACCCTGTTTACTCCTTCCTATGAAAGAAAAGACCCTTTCTGCTTTGCCTCTGAAATGCCTAAAGATCTCATGGTAGAAGTGGTTTTTCCTATTGCAATATTCTCTCTATTGCAATATTCTTCCTCCGCCTATTAGGACAATATTCTTCTCCTTACTGTAATAATCTTTTTGAATAAAGCCACTCTTTACCTAAGTCCAAATTTGTTATTATTTGGCATTTTCAACCTTAAAAAAAAGCTTACCTTTATAAAACACAAATTAAAATCAATAAATATCCTCTTATTATTGACATTTATTTTTATAGAATCACAACTACTATGTATTTCTTGATATACAGCTACATAATAAAATATATAGGAGATACTACCATAAATAACACTGCTAATTTCCCCAATGTTCAAACATAAAAATTACTTAATTGATTATTAAAATAATTAAAGCATTTCATATCAAAAATGAAAAGTAATAACCAAACAACTATGATTTGGAAATCGCAGAAATAATTACCTTCTATTTTACTTTTTTCTGGTGTTCAAATCATCTCTTTACCACCTCTTCAAAAGAAAGAAAAACCTTGATGAATTTGTTTTTATGTTGGCCAATTATTAACTCAAGCATGAAACCAACAATAATAGAGCTTCTGAAGTTCTTTCTGAAGAACCTTCTGCATCAATTTATCACTTTTTGAGTGGGTTAGTACCCTAATCTCAATTTAGCATGGATACCATGAGTTAGCAAATTAACTGCAACACACACATAAAATAAATCCTCAGTGTTTTAAAATCAATCAATCAATCAATCAATCCTCAGTGTTTTTAATCCAGAAGGGAAGTACATAAGGTATTTCTATCCTAGGAAGGACACCTTTTTCTAAAATACTTATATTCCTGTTTATGAAAAATATTTTAAAATAATACTCATATAACAAATACATCACAAAAAAAAAATCAAGTACTCACCCGCATTGACTATAGCATCTACCTCTAGCAATGTGATGTCACCTCTATAGAGAGAAACTTTTTCACTCAAACTTTTCTTCACCTGTGATGTTTCCTGAGTATTTTCTTCTGTAATAAGAAAGGAATATATATCAATAGTAATAGTTTTAATTTCTTTAATAAAGACAATTTTGATACAAGAGCCAATATGGGTCACAATCTAATATACTGGACAAGTAGAAATAAATATAAGTACGAGAGCTGTGGTTTATTCTCTATTTATTATGTATTCCTCAATACAAATGCAGTATCACATATAAATTTAGACACGTTATATTGGTCAACAAAAAATTCAATGTTTATTATTATTATGAAAATATGAAATTTAAAGTAAAATTATGTACCACTAGTTTCATAAGAAGGTATGAAAAAGATGTACAACCACCAAGACAAAATAAATTTTCACAGTGAACAAGCTTATTTCATTTCATTCTAGTTACCTAAAGTCATCCCTGAAAAGCATATTCACTGAGAGCAAAAACATGTAGGTTCGGCTCTTTGCTACTTCTAAGTAATAAATGTCCCTAAAATGGGATGGATCAAGAATATTTGAATGGGTGCAGCACCTGGGTGGCTCAGTCCATTAAGTGTCTGCCTTCGGCTCAGGTCATGACCCCAAGGTCCTGGAATCAAGCACCACATGGGGCTCCCCGCTCAGTGGGGAGTCTGCTTCTCCCTCTCTCTCTGCCTCCTGCTTCCCCTGCTGTGCTCTCTCTTTCTCTCTCTGTCAAATAAATAAAAATCTTAAAAAAAAAAGTATTTTAATGGGTGAAACTGCTTTTCTTAACAAATTGTATTAACCTTTCACTCTAGAGAGCACTGCTAGATTTAAAAGAGAAAAAGCTCTGCCCTGCACACAATAGCCAGCAAGCTTATATATCAAAAACAAGCCAAAACATTACATTCTACAACTCAACTCATTTTCCAATGTTTCATGGCAATACTATAATTTGAGTTTCATTCATTTTTAACAAGTAGTAATGTTAAGACATTAAACAAAGCTGTACAAATCAATGTTTTAAAACATATTATATTACTATACATAAAAAGCTTAATAAAAAAAAGCTTTTTAATATACCTCTAGGAGAGTTGATTTATAAACTTAAACTTTTTAAAGTATTTATGATCTGTGCAAATCTTTCAAGGGGGAAGATAATGCTATTAATTCACTAAGACACTCTTAAATGAGCATATAATTTTGAAGTATCTGGGAGATGGGAGGTAATCGGTCACAAGTCACTGAAATTGTCTTTGGGCCCCAACAGCTACAGAAAAAAATTGGCCAAGACCATGGATATGATTTGTGGCCACAAAAGTGATCTTTCCTCTTTCTGCCTCCAAAGCATTCCCTTCTTTGTAATCACCTGTCTCCTTAAAGGATTCTAATCAAAATGCTCATTGGTGTTGGCAGTAGTAGCAGTAATAATAATAAGGAAGTGGAGAATAATGTGGGAAAATTGTATGCTAAAAGAGTAGAGAAAGATATTCAGAGACCTCAAAATAAAAAACCACCTCAAGGGCTCTTACAGTACTAGTACTGTCTGCCTTTGTCAGGCAATGGCAAAGAGCACAAACTGTGCTATCAGACTGACTCTGTTCAAATCTTGGTCTGCCAGTTAACAGCTGGGTGACATTTGAAAAGTTATTTATTTTCTCCATGCCTCAGTCTGTAAATTACTGGCTCCTTCACAGTTAACATGAGTTCTTTACCCTTAGAATAATATTTGCTCCATAGTAAGCTCTCAACAAACATTACCATTTTTTTAACGAATATTTTACAAAGGTGGCAAACTATTTCAGCATCTATATTCAGAATACCACAGTAGTTAAGAAATATTTTCAAATGATATTATTTTGAAAAATGTATCATTATGTGTATTATTACTATTATCATTATCATTATTATTATTCCCATCAGTGAAAGAGACTAGATTTTATTTATGCTCTAACCAAGCTGTCAATGCCTGGCCCAATGACAAAGATTTTGAGCCAGAAGACCTTGAGTTCCATATCCACTGTCTATTCTTACTACTTTTACCAAATTAGAAAGTCCTGATTCCCAATTAAAGATTGTTAAACGACAATAAATATTTGTTGGTTTTGTCAAAAAAATCTGGATATCTGGACTATTTTTAAATCTAGAAATTATAAAGACTTCTCAGTGAGGAGTTTCAGAACTCCATCAAGCATTAAATTGATAAGCTTATCACAAATGAATACATAAAGTTTGACTTTCCAACTTGGGATACAAAGTTAGATAGATTTCACATTCTTCCTTAAGTTGCATTTAGTTCTAAAAAGTACTTCTTCATTTCCTCATGAAGCATTACATATGTAATACTGTATTTGTAGTAATGGGACTTTTTAACATGTGACAATAAATCATGCATTTCTTTCTCCAAATGTAAAGAAATTATCAAAGAATGGTATTGGAAAGACTCAAAGTTTAAGCCATTTATAACACAAACAAATTCTCTCACCTGCAAATTTTTAAAAAATGGGGTATTTTGAGCCTGAACTAAAAGTTCAAGCAAATTCAACATACTGAATAAATATAGTGCTGTGAGACATCATTCAAATAAGTTACTCAAAATGGTCTTATTAGAATCAGCATCATTGAAGAAATATTTTTATCTTTCTCTCTCATTTTAAAAATTCATGTGAGCCTCCTTTTTCCTCATAGCCAGACTTACACTTGCTGCACAATTTCTCAGATGGTATATCAAAAAGGCACAAATGAATAAATAAAATCTTTAAAAAAAGGCATAAATGTACTTAAACCCTATAATTTGAGAGTATTAATAATTATCAGTATTTCCTCCAGCAATAAACCAAAATCAAACAGCATACTTTGACCAATACCTACTCTCTGTAAATACAACAATGTAAATTACTACCAGAGGCTATTTCTTTTATTTGAATGGCAATGCACTGCCTTCCTTTTCATACAAGTGTGTTTGATCAGCACTCCCAATGTATCTTTTCCTATATCCTGGGTTTTTAGTAATAAATAAGATAGAAAATTGTCAAGCATTGCTCTCTCATGGACATCCTAAATGTACATACACAAAGCAGTAATTCACATTTTGCACATAATTGGCTTTATTCAACCGCAAGTTGAAACACTTGTCAGTTGCACATATGATAGTAATTGTTCTTCTAGACTGCATACTATTTATATTTTAAAACAAACAAACAAACAACAACAACAACAAAAGAGCTAGAGAGTAAAGTGGTAAAAACAGCTTTTATTCCGGAACTACTGCAATTGGGGAAAAGAGATCTCAGTATAGAATCAGGCTCAATTCCCAATATAGCAAAGACAAATAGGGATTTATAACCACAGAGCAGAATGGTAATCAATGGAAGGAAAATTACTAAGAAAAAAATTGGAGGCAGGGGGAGACTGATTGAACAGACTTAGGATTCTTGCTAAAGGCAGGCTAGGGTGATCAGACATCACCTGGGTGTGGGAGGGGATGTGGAATTTGATCAATACTGAGGGTGGGAATTCTCTCTAAACTGATTTAGTAGAAATCTTACTAAAACTGGACTATGTAGATCTAGCAAAGATCTGTCCTAATCAGGAATAAAGCTTAGTGGAACCTGACTAAAATTTGGTTAAGAAGAAAGACTTTGTCAGTCCTTCCTCTTATTCAAGGAAAGAAGACATGTTCTTCTTTCTTTGAACAATGGAAGTCCGTTTCTCACTAGGCTGCCTTTTGTTCATTAAGGACCAGCTGAAACATTAGTTGAGACTTGGTAGTGAAGGATATTTGCTAGGTAGTATGAGCAGTCAAACATTTAACGAGGGGAATTTCTATAAAAAGAAAAGAAAACAAAGATTAGTGGTTGAAGCAGATGAGAAAACTAGTTTTTGAGTCTATAGGGCAGTTGAGAAGATTTCTAGAAGATGGGCTCAAAGCATCTTTTGCGGTTTGAACATCCTTGGTGATGGCATCAGCTGTTCCACTGAGCTTTCTGAATGGCCCACATAGCAGCAGACATGAAGGGTGACCATACATGATCCATTGAGGTGATTTCGTTGAAGTTTGTACCAAATCATACAGCTTCAGCTTGCAGGGCTTCAGGAGAAGGGCAATTTTAGGTCTCAATGATGCCAAATCAGGTGGTGGAGAGAAAAACTGGAAACATTTTGGAGAGTTGTAGCCAGACATTGGAGGAGGAAACCAGAGGAACTGACAAAATGTGCAAGACAATGAACAGGACTAGAATTTAATAACCCACAAACGAGGATGCACAACAGTTTTCCAATGAAGTATAAAATTTGTCTCTCTACAGTCACCCCACTTTTTAATCTTGTTTACAAAATAAGTCTGGTCTCATTAGATTTGGCCTAATTATTTATATAAGTACAGCAAGAATGTTAATTGACCACTTGGGACTTTCAAGTTTGGTTTGCTGGAACTTTTTGTAGAGAATCTTAAATTAGACTTTTAAAAGCCTCTTGAGCCTAAGCAACCAAACCTAGAACTCACCACCAGATTTAGCCTGTAATTCCTATAGATTTGAGTGAATTCCTCTCTTCTCAAGGTTGCCAAAACAGCCTAAAGTTCCTGGGCTTGCCAGGAAGTGACCTTCTTTATTCATCTGTAAGGTTGGGAACACTGTATACCAGGTAGAAGGCTGGTTTTTCCAAAAGGAGGTTGTAAGCATTGGCTCTAAAAAGTCAAACTTAGTTCCCTGAAACTATCTGATTATCTTATTCTATGCATCATTCTCAAATATGACATTCTAGTCAAAGCCTATATAATCAATTTTTCCAATTACGTCCTATTACAAGGAAGACAGATTCTTATTGAACTTACACAAATAATTTTATTGTCATGAAAATAAGAATACTCAATAGAGTTTCTGAACTCTGGAGAAATCAGGTAGGGAAAAAACATAAACATGAACATTTCATTTCTTTTTACAAAAGTATAATCTACTAAATTGTCATGAGTTACAGAAAACAGAGAGAAAGGGGGGCGCCTGGGTGGCTCAGTTGCTAAGCATCTGCCTTCAGCTCAGGTCATGATCCAGGGTCCTGGGATCGAGCCCCGCAT